AAAAAAAAAGAAAAAAGATTTTTGGGGGGCCCCCTAAGCTTTTCAACTTCTCATTCTGTCTCAACTTAGCTTTCCAATCAAAGGCCCTTTTTCAAGACCTGCTAAGCTGGATCTTTTCCTTGGTTTTTTAGTTCAATGTAAAAGCCAGCTGCTCCTCCTATTGACACTTCTTTTGCTGCTGAGAAGCCAATTTTAGACTTTCTTTTTTCCTCCTGTCTGGCCTCTTGACTGGGCCAATGAAAACTCTCTCCACTTTCCTTCAGATCCTTTTGGTACTGGGTGTGACCTTCGCTGGATCTTTCTATTTTGAGACCTATAGATTATTGGAAACGATATCTGGTTTCTTTGTTTTGGGTGCTTTACTATACCCAATTATTTGGAGCTAACCAAGGGAGGTTTAATCATTCTGCCCTTGTCTCCAAAGACATTTCTCTGTGAGGTATTTCTTTAGGCTTGTTCTGTATGACAAACCAGTCTGGCACCTGGTACCTATGAACTCACTATTCAATTGCTAAACTGTTTTCCCAGTCTTTGAAGCCACCTTTGAAGCTAATTGTTGAGGCCAACCAACTGGCTCTGGCACCTATCTCGAGCCTAATTTAGGGCCTTCTTTCAGGGTATTGCCTTGCATCTTTGTTCAAAGTTGACTTTGGTGGCCAATTAACTGGCTCTGATTCCCTAACTTGAGCCCAATTCAGGCTTCTCTCAGGATAATTGACTCTATCCTATTAGTAATTGGGTGGTCTGAAACTCATGCAGAGGTCTCTTACCCTTTGGATTGCATTCTAGTGGCTGGTGGTCCAATCAAAGAATGGCCTGCTGTCTGGGACCAGTTGGGTATGGCCTCTTGTTGTAGGTATTGGTTGGCTTAGGGCGTCTCTGTACATCCTTGTAATACTGTTTCCCATTAATTGGAAGCCCTTTTAGCCATTTGTAACTTTAACCTGCATCTGGAAGCATCCTTTGCATGACAATGCCTCAAGAGAGTCATCATCCAGTGCTTCCTCACTAGAGTCATCCTTTTGGGTCCGCAAAGCTCTGTCCATATTGTTGGTTGACTTCTTGGTATCACTTCTTGAAAGCAGTCTGGCTGGCAACATGCATCTTGCACATTAACCTCCTTCAATTCCTTCAAGGATAGGTTTTGGAAATCTGGTATTGCCAACATTGGTTGTAGCCTTCCCAATCTCTGGAAACGGGTTGGTGTATAATCCCCATAACTTCCTTTTTCTTTGGCTGGAAACTTTAAACTCCCCTTTTCGAATATTTGTTCTTGGATCCTGTTCCTAAAACAAATACAGTTTTTAGTTGAATGAGATTAAGAATTGTGTCATTTACAGTACATTTTCCCTTAAGTTCTTCTGGGGTAAGGATCTTAGTTCCTGTTGGTAACTTTAGGAAATTTGGCTGCAAGCAAATAATCAAAAATGTCATATGGCTTTTTGTTAAAATCAAAAGAATACTTCCTATGAAGGTCTTTCTTTTTAAACTGCTGGTCTATTGTACTGTCCTTCTGAATTTAACGTCTCACATGTCATAGGCTCTTCCCTACGATTTTTGTTACAATCAATTTCATAATTAGGGTCCTTATAATAGGTCTTATATGATGCATTACTTCGATCTATGTTTTTCCTCAAGTAAAGATTCATATCTAGGACACCTTATAAGGTTAATTTCCACTGAGTCTCGAAACTTAGTTGAATCGAACTTCTTTCGAAGCCTAAACTCTAAACCATTTTGAGCCAATCTCACAAATTCAGGCTTTGGTAGAATGACCCTACACTTGTTTCGTGCTCGTTGAATCTAGCAATAAATTGAGCAGCCTTCTCATCAGGCCTTTGGCTCAACCTTGCCAAATCTGCCATGGAAACTTCAGGGTTTGTTTGTGAAGAATTGGGCATGCAATGTCTCCTCCATTTTGCTGCCATTTGGATAGAACAAGTGTAAGGTTAATATACCATACAAAGGCTACCTCAGTTAAAGAATTTGGAAAGAATCTCAACTTCATATAATCATTATTGGTAAATTCACCACATGGCTGCGAACTTGGTAAATGTGTTCTACTGTTGATAGTATTCTATTTCCATAAAAGAGAGCAAAAGTCTGGTATTCTAAACCCCTTAGGTATTCAATGCACCCTATCCACACCATTCTGGGTATGGGCTTTCTATATACAGGAGTCTAGACCCCCTGAGCCATAGGTCCACACATTTCTCTGACAATAATTCGGTAATTTGGTCCCTAGGAATAGAGTGGCAATCGAACCCGACCCCGACGGGGACCCGACCCCCCGACCCCAAATTAAGCGGTTATTCCCGAAAAATACCTCCGATGGGCCTGAGGATGGTATTAAAAAAATGTATCCTCGGTGATATTCGAGGCCGGGGACGGGGATACATGTTTCAATCCCGACCCGGCCCGACCCGACCCTGATCCCCACCCGTTCCCCGCCCCGTATAAACCTCGATGTGAAATTTACTATTTTGCCCCTCCTTATATATATATGTGTTCCTATAGGGCTTGGTTGAAACACTCCCACTAAACCTGCTACTCTCTCTCGCTCTCTGCTGTTGCCAAGAACTTTAGGGTTTAGCCCCCCTGTTCTCTCTCTCACAACGAACGACGCTGACCACTCCTCTACCACCGTCGATCCTCCTCTCACCGCCGATCCTCCTCACCACATGCTCGTACCTCACCGTCGATCATACCTTCCTCACTGCTACTCTCTCTCTCTCTCTCTCTCTCTCTCTCTCTCTCTCTCTCTCTCTCTCTCTCTCTCTCTCCGCCGTTGCCAAGAACTTTAGGGTTTCGCCTCCCTTTCTCTCTCTCTCATACAACGAACGACGGTTGTTGCTCCTCCGTCACTGCCGATCCTCTCTCACCGCCGATCCTCCTTCACCGCAGCTAGTACCTCACCACCGATCATCCTCCATCACCGCTGCTCATACCTCACTGCTGCTGTTTAGGGTATCTCTTTCTCTCTCTATCTCTCTCTAGGGATTTCGATCTACTAGGGTTTACAGACATATATATATATCAAAGTTTATTTATTTTTCTCTAAATTTATTTATTTATTTTAGTGTTTTCTCTAATCAAAATATATATGATTGATCTGTAATCTGTTATTGATCTGTTGTATATATATATATGATTGATCTGTTGTTACCGATCTGTTATATATATATATATATATGAAATTTGATTTATTATCTGTTATCGATCTGTTGTATATATATGATTGATCTGTATCTGTTATTGATCTGTTATACATATATATATGAAATGTGTTGTTTATTTTATTTTTGGTAACTGGTATCATCACTATTCATTAGTTTAATTTGACAAGTTTATCATGAATCAACAATATAGTTCATTTAATTTAATTTTTTATTTTTCATTTACAAGGAAGTGCAAAAGAAATAAATTATTTGAAATTATAGTTAATTCCATGGGGTCAATATAGTTTTTTATTAAGCAGAGTTATTTATTAAGCAGAGTTATCTATTATTTGAAATTATAGTTAATTTCATGTCTCAAAATGTGTAAGAATTATAGTGGGTGAAACAATAGTTTTTTATTAAGCAGAGTTTGTAACCTGTAATTTTTTACAATGAAAAAAAAAAAAGAAAGAAAGAAAGAAAGAAAGAGGTTGATGAAGCATCAATGAATAATGTTTTCAAGAGCTCTCTAGTACATATCAGTGATGAAATGATTGATTCTTGGGTTTGTGAAAATGTGACTTCAAAACTTTGAACTAGGGCAATAAAGCTAGCTAACAAAGTGGGAACAAATAAGAGAGCTCTTATTTGCACACACAATCAAAATGTGATCTTTTTTTTAATTATTGATCTGTTTGTGACCTGATTTGTTAATGATTTGTCAATGATTCATTCACATTTTAATTCAATCCATATTAGTTTTATAAAGGTAAAACATGTCAGATGTTAACTCTCAAGTACCAGTTAACCCTAAACTACCAGTTAACTCTCAAGTGCCATTTGAGAGTGACGCATCACAACAATGATCGCCAACTACCAACTCACCTACGGACTCACCGTCTCCCCTCTCTAATAAAAATGTTATTGATTTAGAAGAAGAGTCTAATACTTATGCAGGAAGTAAAAGAAAACATAGTGTTGTGTGGGAACACTTTAAGAAACAACAAGTCAATGAGGTGTGGAAGGCAATATGTAATTATTGTAATAAGCATCTTGGAGGTGATACAAAAAATGGAACTAGGCATTTGCATGATCACCATAGGAGTTGTACTAAGAAAAAAATGATGGACATGAGGCAAAAAGTTTTAACTAACAACTTTAATAGAGAGAGTCCAAAAATGAATTCTTATATTTTTGATCAAGATTTTGCTAGGAAAGAATTGTCACATGTCATAATATTGCATGAATATCCCCTCTCTATCGTAGATCATGTTGGCTTTAAACGATATTCAACCGCACTTCAACCATTGTTTAAAGTGCCTTCTCGAAATACGATAAAGAGTGATATTTTAAAGATTTATGATTATGAGAGGGTGAAGACATTGAGTTTGGTAGAGCATAATAAAAGTAGAGTGACAATCACAACTGATATGTGGACTGCTAGCAATCAAAGAAAGGTTTCATGGCTGTCACCGCACACTTTATTGATGATTCATGGACATTGCAAAGTCGTATTTTGAGGTATATATTTGTAAATTTGAAAATCATTTAAAAGTTATATCTTATTTAGTTCAATTTGCATGTTATTAATACTTGTTCATGAATATTATATTTTAGGTTTATTTATGTTCCATGTCCACACATAAAAGAAGTTCTTTGTGATACTTTGCTTGAGTGTATGATGGATTGGAATATTGATAGAAAAATTTCTACTGTTACTATTGATAATTGCTCCACAAATGATGCCATGATTACCATGTTGATGGATAAATTAAGTAACACATCGCTTTTGTTGGATGGTAATTTGTTTCATATGCGTTGTTGTGCGCATATTTTGAATTTGATTGTGAAAGATGGACTGGATGTCATACGAGTGGGTGTGGAGAAAATTTGAGAGAGTGTAGCTTATTGGACAGCAACACCAAAAAGACAAGAAAAACTTGAACAAACAATCAATCAATTGCGTGATCCACATACTAAGAAATTAGGACTCGATTATGCAACTAGGTGGAATTCAACCTACTTGATGCTTTAGACTGCCTTATTGTATAAGGATGTCTTTTCGCAGTTGAAAATTAGAGAGCCCCAATATAAGACCGTGCCAAGTGAGCAAGAATGAGAGTTTGCTAGAGAGATTAGTGGGAGGTTTAAGATATTTTTTTCTATCACAGAGTTATTTTCTAGTACTAAGTATTCCACAGCCAATGTTTGTTTCTCAGCTTTATGTGAGATTAGGATGACACTGTCTCAATGGCTCTCTTGTGAAATTGAAGTGATTAAAACAATGGCATCAAAAATGGTTGAAAATTTTGATAAATATTGGTTAGTGATAAATGGTGTTATTAGAATTGTTATTGTGCTTGATCCTAAGTATAAAATGAGTGTATTGGAGTTTTATTTTGAAAAACTTTATGGAGGCCAAGCTGAAGATGAAGTTGATAGGGTTCGTCAGATTTGTTATGATTTGTTACAAGAGTATCAGCGCCGAGTTGGTATGGAGACCGATGTTGTTGATGACTTTTCTATTCATTCAGAAATTGTTACAGAGACCCTTTCAGAATTTGATTTATTTGTTAGTAGAAAGAGAAGTAAAAAAATGAAGAATGTAAGATCAGAGTTGGACCATTATCTAGAAGATGATGTTTTGCCAAAAACTTCAGGTTTTGATGTTTTGAATTGGTGGAAAGCCAATGGACCAAAGTATCCGACCTTACAGATAATAGCCAGGGATATTTTAGCTATTCCTGTATCCACTGTTGTTTCTGAGTCAGCATTTAGTACTAGTCGAAGGTTGGTGAGTCCACATCGTAGTAGACTTCATCCAAACACATTAGAAGTATTAATGTGTGCACAAAGCTGGTTGTGGGGTGCAAAGATGAAAGGTACTCGTATTATTATTTCATCCAATCTACATATTATTATTTCACTTTTATATTTTAATATTGAATTTACATTCTTTAATTTTTAGGAAATTCAACATTGGAATCGGTGGGCTATGCAACTATATATGATGATGATGAGATCGAGTCGGATCAGTCATGTGCCACTTTTGTGTTAGTTGTCATCTTTTTTGTTTTAATTGTTAACATTTTTTACATTTTATTATTAGTATTAATTATTTATTTTTTTTCCTTTTGTTATTTAACAGGAGTTCAAGTTGAAGGAGATGATG